ATTATTATTGTTATTATTATCCTGAGGACCATCATCATCATGACCATCACCATCATCTTCATCACCATCTTTATCACCATCACCACCACCATCATCTTCATCATCACCATATTTATCACCATCATCACTATCATCATCACCACCATCATCATCATCACCACCATCACCATCATCATCACCAACGTCGTCATCAGCAACACAATCATCATCACCATCATCATCATCACCAACACCACCATCATCATTACCACAATCACCACAATCATCATCATCATATTAATAATTATTATTATTATCACCAYCACCACCATTGCCATCACCACCACCACCTGTTCTGTTATCGAACGGATCACGGAAAAAAACTATTTTATTTGTTTTGGTTTTTTAAACCAAAGATTGGTTCGAGTTGACATTGCAGAGCATTTTGGGGCTGTTTAGCATGAGAGAGAATTCAGTTTCCCAAGGGATAAATACTCCTATTGTCGTGCTTTCTGTCATGGCTGCCGTCACGTGATAGTGCAAAGCCTCTATTAAGGTATGAATAATCATAGCCAGTTGTTACCTGAAGGTGATGGTGAAACGCTACTTGGAAAGGAAGAAGATGTCGATCCTTCAAGAGGAAATATAGATATATATATATATATATATATAAGAAGCCTTCAACAACATAATCATTATCATCATCACCACCATCATCATTATCATCATCGCCACCATCATCATTATCATCATCACCACCATCATTAACCTTATCATCATCATCACACTTATTATCATCATCACATGTACAATGATCCTGACTGCTCAGGAATACATGTCCTTCGGAATCCATCCGCACATGGATTGGGGACACACGGGCCGCCGCCTAGGACCGAGGAGAATATATATGAATGCATTAAGCCAAATGGCCAACAGGTCAAAAAACAAGCGAGCAAACAAGCAAATATTCGTGAGGTTTCTACATGTTACTCATTTTTTCTTACCAAAACAAGATGTTACCACATAAGAGGTGGTACTTGTAACAATCAGCCCTGAAACAACATGGAATATCATCTCTTATAAGCATTCGCGAGCTTTGTTAGTGCGCATGCGTGCGCATATGGCGTGACCGCATGACAAAACATCCTATAAATGACCCGTAAATCTTCTGGTTTTTTTTTTTTTTTTTTTTTTTGATGACTAGTAGTTAGCGTGTTTTCGAGGCTACGAAATCTAAGAAACCATACGAATGTATAGGCCAACAGATAGTATGAGCTTATAAAATCAGCAAAAATATGGTTCTAAATTTTAACAAATTGCTATGAATTATATACCAAAATRTTCAGGAAAGCCCGGGGTTTTCAAATCCACTTCTGATTTTTTTGACAGGTTCTGTTTTATATCGAGGAGAGACGATTTTGTAGCTTGACCCCGGTTATGTCATGCATTTTCTCTYGTAAAATACATCCAACAGCGTACATTCAACTCAAAAAATACGGTGTTTTTTTTTCAATAGAATTCAATCTAAGCTATATRATACAGTCCGCGAATAGTTGAATTAACTGAATCCACTTCTGTTTTTTGCCTAGATAGTCATTATTTTGAGAAAAGAACCAAAAAACGTGTTTTTGAGACATAATTTGTATGGGCTCACATGAGGGGGCGTGAGCTTGAAATCGTAGCTGACCAAATGTTAACAGTTTTTTTCTGATGATAAACTTTGGTTACCTGAAGAAGATGGTGTAACGCTACTTGGCGACGAAGGAGAAATAGGTTCTGCGGAAGGAAAAACAAAAATAAATAACCTCACCATCTTCAATACTAACACCATCACCATCATCATTATTATCATGACCATCATCATCATTGACCCATTCAATCATGTTCACATGCGAATTTGAGCCATATAAGTATTAAATTATTATTGTTATTATTATTATTATTATTATTATTATCATGAGGACCATCATCATCATGACCATGACCATCATCTTCATCACCACCATCATCATCATCATCACCATCTTTATCACCATCATCATCATCATCATCACTATCACCATCATCATTATCATCATCACTATTATCATCATCACCTTCATCATCATCATCATCATCATTAACATTATCACCACCACCATCATCTTCATCATCACCATATTTATCACCATCATCACTATCATCATCACCATCATCATCATCACCACCATCACCATCATCATCACCAACGTCTTCATCAGCACCTTAATAATCACCATCATCATCATCATCATCATCATCACCATCATCATTATCATCATTATGATCATCATTGATCACCGCCACCATCACCATCATCATCATCATCATCATCATTATGATCATCATTGATCACCGCCACCATCATTATCATTATCATTATCATCATCACCATCATCATTATCACCATCACCATCGCCATCACCATCGCCATCACCACAATCATCACCATCATCATCATATTAATAATTATTATTATTATCACCATGACCACCATCACCATCGGACGAGTTACTGGACGTTTACCATTCCATTTATTTTTTTCTACAAAACACAACCTTAACGCTAGTCGAACTCATGGCGGAATTTCTTTTTCGATCGGCAAGAGAAATCTGCATGTTCTATATATATGGTTTCTGATAGGATAATATTAATCTAAAATTGACCCATAATGCCTTTCGGGGAAAACAGTCACCTCGGCTGGTGTAGAAGGTCTACTATACTTGTATCCTCATGTATTTAAGGACTTACTTGTTTCACAGTGTTTTCCACTAAATCCATCAGGACATGTACAATCATAATGATCGCCTTTATCACAGCAACTCCCGCCATTTTGACATGGATGGCTTGAACAGTCATTAACAACTGATATAAACAAGGGATGAGATTCATTTTAAGAGAGTATTTTTTTCCGTATTCAAGCAGTGAGCGCCAAAAACTATTTTCTTAAAGAAAGGCTGTTGTACAAGGCTAAAATCTTGTTATTCAGAAAGTTTAACTTGTTTGGAAGTGGAGATGACCGATGAAAGTGGAATCAAAGTGTTAACCCAAAGCAAAACTTTTATTCGAAAATGAGTTTAGGCCTTCATTTCCTTATTTCCCATATATTTTCTATAAAAAAGCCTGACAAAGCAACATTCTAACCGAAAAAATGCAGCAGAACATCTTTGTACAATTGACTGCACGACTTGAACAATATAAACACCACTTTGAAAATTCCACGAAACTTCACTGGAACACATGAGTATTCTACTTAAAGTGCCTATCACCCTTCTGACGATATTCTCAGTATTGATTCTACATGGGGTAAGATGTTGAATAACCCGAAAAATTTACATAGTTTGAGTGCGGCTTCTTGAAGTTATGAAGGTTTTTCCACGTCATATGCTAATGCTGTGACGTATGAGGAGTAATCATTTAATATACAAAACACTACTGGTACAGATAAATTAAATTTGAAATACGTCATTGTTTTGCCCATTGCTCTGAGTGAAATGAGTGCAAGTTAGTTTTCCCATAGAAGCCGGTGTTTCGAATTACGAGGAACAACAAATAACCATAAATGCCTCCTCATACGTCACAGCATTAGCATATGACATGGAAAAACCTTCATAACTTCAAGAAGCCGCACTCAAACTATGTAATTTTTTCGGGTTATTCAACATCTTACCCCATGTAGAATCAATACTAAGAATATTGTCAGAAGGGTGATAGGCATTTTAAAAGCCACCATGCTTTTTGTCAATGTTTTATTTAGTACCATCTGTGTCTATTTACACACTAATGATGAAAACCCTGAGCAACATGAGAGAGCTCTAAAATGGAGTATCAAAACAAACGTTTTGTCTTCAAATTGTCATTTATGCTAAGTGATCAATAATGGCTATCCCCTTTTCAAGAAGTAAAAAAAATGAGCTTTTAAATACTGAATGCTCTGAAATATAGAAATACTTCCCGAACTTTTTCCACGTTTTTTACGCCATTTGCACGCCAAAATCTCAAGAAAAACCACCAAATTTCACCGTGGTTTTACGATGTTATTTTCCCGCCAAAATAACAAAAAACCTTAAACGTTTCACGTGGTTTCTTTGATGTCATTTTCCCGCCAAAATTTCAAAGAAACCGTGAAAGTTTCTTGCGGTTTCTTTGATGTCATTTTCCCGCCAAAATCTCCCAAAGCAGCTGCAAGGATCGTTTGTTATTAATCGCATCATTCAATGGTATTTTTACTCACGTTGTTCGCATTGTATGCCCTTGTATGTTCTGGGACAGACACAGTACCACATCCCGTCATTGGACTCTGCGCATGACCCTCCGTTCAGACATGTGGTGCTCTGGCAGCCGAGTTTTTCTGAATGAGATAAAGAAAATAAATTATTGATGGATATTTGTTAGTCGTTTCCTTATTGAAAAACTACGATCGACTTGTCCATTCATCAATAGATCTAGTCCACTGTTTTCCCATTTCAGACCACGTGTCATTCC